CGTGTTGACACCGCGCAGCTGCAGTTGGGCGCCGGAATCTAACGCGCCAGCTGCGTGAGTCACAAAGCCAATGAAGTCGCCCCTTTCCTCAGACCACAATCTCATTGGTCCAAACTTGTACACACGTTCGCTTGCCTTAAATACGCTGTACTAGGTTTTCTCAAAGACTTCTAATTTCGCGCTCTTCTTGTTGTGTTCTTCCTCGGGGGCTCACACAAGACGTAACGTAGACGGCGATATCGCAGCTTTGACAACATTTACAACATTCCTGACTTTTTAATGACGCTGGACTGAGGAGGAGTGAGAGGAGAGAAGTATGTGGTGGATATTGCCAAAGCCTAATATCGCTAAAAACTCCTTCACACTCAAGTAACCATCCTTGTGTCCACCCTGCTGTGTGACACACTGAGGATATTGCTGGCAACGATGGTTGAAAATTATCACCCGTCGAATTTATTACCTGAACTCTCTATACGAATAGTCAACTAATACGTTTACGACTTTTGGAGGAAAAGGCTTGGGGCTACAAAAGCGACGCAAGATATTTTTGCGGTCAGTCCTAAAATTGTGAGGAATATTCGAGTTGGCATAAGCCGCGTGCTGTTCATTGTACAAAAAGTCAATACTATAATTCAATAAGCTACTTGTTCCGCCACCCACTTAAAAGAGATTGGTGTTAATTCCGTGGTTCACCGGTTGTCGTGTTGTGCAAACGTGATTACGCCTGGTTTGTAGTGGGGTTTTGTGGTCCTCCGTGTGGCTACTGGCATAAAAGTGCCTCAGCATACTTGATTCTACGCTTTTATTTTACCGAAAATAAGTAATTTCAGATAAATTAAAGTCCCAGCACGGTGATAGTCAACGGCACACAAAAATTGATGGAGCACACTTTTTGTAGCTCAGATTATGCCTGTACTGGAAACAATATTGCTGGCATTAACTCCGAAAGTAAACTTCCATCTAACCCGGTATTGAGAGGGGCAGGTGGGATTATGTGCCTCTCTCTGATTTATTACTGAAGGGTTTATTGCCAACATTCTACTTCCGGTTTATGCATCAATTTCGGAGCAAATTTAACCGCCTACCACTGAACTGTTCAGCCAGATTTCCACGATAGTCGCCATTAGCACTTGTAGACCAGGTCGTTCAACGAACCTGTTGGTGGAGGCGACTGAAAAACGACCATCGAGAAGTAAAACCATTGTTGCCCCCATCCAGGGGCAGAACAGAAAGCAGCAGAAATAAATGGCAATCGCCAAGATTTCAAATAACTGTTAGCATTTGCGTTCAGGGGTTCTTTGCTGTGTATTCTGAAAGCATTTTCTGGCACTTTGGAGAACTGCAGCAGTAGGCCATCACTGGAATTCTTTCGTGGGAAGCAAGCTGCGGACAGTAGCGGAAATCACGTTGAAACTCGGCTGAGTAGCTCAGCTTGCACCAAGAACAGCACGCAGCACTAGAATAGATTTGAAAGGAGGTCATATTTTAGGTCTCAGGTGATTGGTCCTGACCATTTACAAATTAAAGGATATCGCTGACTACCACTCACCGAACACTCGCCCCCGGGTTCTGACCGATTTACGAGGAAATTAATGCGCGTAGGGTTGAAAATTCATTTTGACAATATAAACCAAGTTACTAAAGCCTTTAATCTCACGATGAACTTTGTTTTGACATTTGTTTTGTCGGAAAAAGGACGTATGAAGAAGTGATGGTGAATTCGAAAGTAATTGTAGTTTATCAAATGTACATTTTCGGTTAGACTAATGGAGCCTTCAACAATACTTTGCACTATACTCTACTCTCTACTATACTCGAATGATAGGATAAGCATTTAGACACGATTAATTAAGTTAATTGTTCCTGTACATATCCCATAGTCTGACAACAAGCTAGGGACCCAGCCTCGAAAAATTATGCATGAAAGATACAACTTTCTCAAAGAAGCCTTTATCTTTTCAATTAGATATCTTGGGATGCCCGTATTTCAACTCAAATATGTGCGTAGATGAGGCATGAAAAAGACTGGTCAAACGGCAGCGGAATGTGTCTATTATTCCGAGTTTTCAAACTTCTGTAGAATTTCATTGTCAGAGAAGTCAGCAGCAACAGAAAAAGGTTGCAAGCCAATCTATGATCAGTGGCAGGCTCTGTCGTATATTGAGGACATCTCAGAAGTCACTTTAGACATCATTGTTGAATAAGCTGTTGGGATTGCACATTGAGCCAAGGCCACCATGCACAGCGGGGTCATCAAAATCAAAGACTAACTAAAAACTAAGAAGAGTTATGACGCTGTCCTGAAATAAGTATATATTTAACCCAGAAAGGTAGTTGTTAGTTTTGGTAATTCGCTAACCTGCTCAACGTATTATCCATCGCTTGCTCCGAGTATTGACCAGTCAGCCTGTCGTCAGCATTTTTCAAAAATGCTTTTGAGCTGTTGAGCAGTGCAAGTTCTTCCATAGGCAGGAGGCAATGCATAGGATTGTAGTCCAGGTTAACTTGCAATACCTGTTCGGTAAGTAGCTCCAGCAAGCCGAATGGGATGTATTTTAAGTCATTGCCCTGAAGACTCAGGGTAGACAGTTTCCTAAAATGTGCCCAGATGATTCAAGCATTAGCAAGCCAATCAGAACGCTTTGTTCACGAATAAATGAGTAAGTTCGCGTTTCAATTTTTTGCATGGGTAAGGAAGAATGCTTATCAAGCATCGGAACAATAAGTTCCGGGATTCAACAGGCTCCCTCCCTTACCCAGAATACTTTCTAGGTACCCGTGGTTATACAAACTAAATGATTAAAGTTGCAAAAATTTCCATCAGAGAACTGAGAAGAGTAATTCGCGAGCATACGTAGACTTTCGATCAATTATCATTGGGCCATTACATTTATATGGGAAGGGGGTAAAAGGTAAATGGTAAACATGTGGGTAATTACGTTCATTATTGGCAAATTAGTCATGGGAATAGGGAAGGGTGGTTGGGGATACATAATACGCGGCAGTGAGGTTTTTTGAGGTGAACAAGGGGGGAGGGTGGAAGGGAGCGGGAAAGCGTTAAAAAAATGCAGGCAGTTATGTAACCATTGGCCATGCTAAGCTCGGAGCTTGCAGGAGGCTTTTTTGCGCGCACAAAACCGGCTTCCTGAACCGGACAGCTGTTCCTAGCAAACGGTGACTCAGGGACTAAATGATTACTTGCAAGGGCTATATTCCTTACGTGTTTTACAATATCATTTCTTCTGTTTACGTACATTGGTAAAAATTCGGCCTCCTGGTTTATTTGCAACCGTCTCTGTCGGTTTATTTTTTAAGTACAGTTTATTCCAACGTCGACTACTGAGTCGAATTTCGTTTTTCAGTATGATTTAATAACACACTCGAGCTCTTACTAGCCCTTCGATTTTCTCAGAAAGGTAACTGCAATTTTTGATATTTTATCTTCGCGGACTGCGCTGTCTTCTGTTCGTTTAGCCACACGTATGAAATTCTTACTACGGTAAACCCCCACGTATCCATAGAGTTCTGTCATAGAGCATATCGACGATATTCACTGAGTGTTTTCATTTACTTTCTGGGCTAAAAAGAAGTGTGGTTCTGTCCTATCAAAGGTTGCGAAAGGGAGGAGAAGAGTGAGAAGTCGTCTACCTATCGGCGTCGCGACTATAACGCGACTTCGTAGGAGGTGTGAGGACGCATGTTGACTCCCTCTCCAGCCCAAGGATCCCTGGTGTTTGTATAAACGCCTTCTCTGCGCACAAAGTCGGGTTAGTTAGCATAATAGCTACCGCCTTTACCGTCGTAAGTATCCGCTGCTGCGAGAACTTAGTGTGTTTCGTCCGCAGCATATAGCTGGCTCGGAATGTTTGGTTCACGCCGACCCGGTGACCACTGTCAATCAAATTAGCCAAAACGGCGTGGTTACTGGGCCAATGGCAACCAAACGAAACCCGTCCAGGTTTCTGCGTCAGCGGATACTTGGGCGGGCAGATGCACTGGCCATAAAGCTAACCACCCAAAATTTATTCGTGCAGAAATCGTTTTTGTAGGCCTTAGAGTTCCCCGCGCTGGAGACGACCTCAGCATGTTTGTTCACACCTCCTATCACGTCTCGTTACAGCGACGATGCAGAGACCTAAACTAATAATCGGACCCCCCCTTCCCCTCCCGCCGCCTCTGATAGGATGAGACTATAACCGCCTGATCTCAGAACACCCACAACCCTTTCCCTCATATTTACTGTTTAGTGGATTTTTGGACTTATAACTCTACCCTAATTTACATTACTTCGAATATCTGATAACGAATAACATTATTTTTTAGGATAATAGGTCAAGGTAAATTTGGCGTTTGAACCTTACGATAGTTATAGGATGTTGCAAAGGGGGCTCAAGTATTCGAGCAGTTCAGCTAGCCAAGCAAAAAGATGGGCCTAACTACCGGGAAGTCTGTGAGTTGACTGTAAATCCGAAAACTCACATGAATTTAATGCATGATTCGGTGATCGAGATTGCTTGCCAGTCTAGAGTTTTCCAATCTTGTACGACAGGGTATGCAATTAGCTGTGAGATTAATGCAGAAGAAGGTTTTATCGCGTCAGTCTTTATCTCTCCCATAGCAGTGCAGGGGCAAAACGGATCAGGAAAATTCGAAGAATACCAACCGATAGGCCAATTGACCGTCGTTTTGAGGTTCCATTCTAACTTTCTAACTATCAAAAAGAGGAGATATCCGGAACGATAAGTTGAAGAAGATGGGTCCACTGGAACGGACTTGTTGAACTAGTGACATTTTGAGGAACTTGGTTTGCCCATCATTGCCAAAGTGTTAGCTGCTGGAAATCGAACAAAGCTGCAAGCATCGTTCGGACAGAGGTGAAAAAGGGCTCCCGGAAAATTTAAGTCCCGAAATGCCGAGACCGATCGGTAAAAAAAAATCGATAGACCTAAGACCGACTAGTGTGAAACATCATTTACTATGTGTCCAGTTATGCGCACTTTACTTTTCGACAGTGGTTAGCAGACCTAGTTCCCCAAAAAATCCGTAGTTGAACGAACATATTACGGTGCGTTTTTTCGCTTCCACGAGTGCAGTATTCACGCGAGACCATCGAGTACCTTTTCTATTTGATGTGTCCAAGGAACACCGCCAGCATCCAAAAACTTTTTAGCATTATATTCGACGACTATTCCCATTCTAGGGGAAGAAGGATGCCCGAAAGGCTTCTGTTCGAAAAAAACATGTTACAACGCAGATGAATTATGAAAGGATACAAAAGTGCGCTGATTTAATTTTTTTATAGTTATGAACAGAATTCTTTAAATATATCAATACAGCTATCACAGCTTGGTTTCAAGATGTATAAAGAAGCAGTTGTATACGTTAGTTAAAAACGCTCAAATGAATAATAAATACTCTTGTAGATGTTGATCCGCTTATGCCACAGCTTTTGTGGTACTTCAGACACTGTGCAAGGTATTCTGATAAGGTTAGTCTAATTAGTGCTTGCTGATTAAAGCAGACGCTTTATCAAATAGAAGCATGGTCTACAGGCATTTAACTCGCCTTTTATAAACGGTAGGCATTCTTAACTGTTACCTTAAGACTAAGTGACAGTGGATCGTCTCATTTTAACGCTTTTACTGAACCGCTCGATTGTCTCGAATTGGTTCATCAAAACAGGCCAGAATTCGTTATTATTATTACTAAAATAATAAATAGCGTTTTGTAGCCAAAATCTGCTTTTGAAAAATTTAATTATCGTACAAACCCCATTTGTGATATCGAGTCGTGGATTTCGGTAAGAAAGTTGAATCCCAAATTGCAAACCTCGAGTTCAGATAGGTGGTAAAATCTGAAACGGAGTTTTTCA